CCAAAAATTAGGAAACATCCCCATTGCGGATGTTTGTGGGCGGCGGTCGCTTTCCATTTCGGTGGATTCAGGTGGCCGCTTGCTCGTTTACCACCTTATATTATAAAAAATAATTAAAAGCAAGAAATGTCTACAAAATTACAAATACAGAAATAAAACAAGATTTTCCTCCTAAAAATAATATCGCATTCAATAAATAATAATTAATCGGTAAATATGAACGTATATCTTTGATCTCTTAATTTCTCTAATTATTTGGAAAATTTCTTTGTAGCGTTACTGAATTGTGGTAAATCGTTCATGTCAAAAGGTTCAGCTGAAAGGCTGTATTTTGGGTAAAGAATATTTCTTTATAGAAATAATTTTTATTTATTAGTGTTAGAATGTTGGTAATAGATTTCTCCATAGAATTATTAGAAACAGTTTGTTGTGTTTAACTGTAGACAAGATTTTTGATATTAAATTCAATGCATTGTTAAAAATGTTTTGCTACTTTCTATATAAAGTTTGCTAAAACACAGACAGTAATAAAAAATTAACACGACGAAGCGTCGAAACTCGTAAACCAGTTGCGGTAACACCTTTAGGGTAGTCCTTCTAGTCTCTACCTCGAAAGTGTCTCGGTGAGTTATAGATTTCAAAAGACGAACGACATAAATAATGTATAACATTTTACGTTTCATATTTTTAAAGACAATAAATCTGACTATAATTTTTAATTTGATAATGCCAGATTTTACTGTACATTATTATATTACTAGCTTTCGCCCGCGACTCCGTCTGCACGGAATTAAAAAAAACAAAAGTGAGTACCCCATATGTTCTTCCAGACTATACCCCACATCTATACCAAATTACATCGAAATCCGTTCAGCCGTTTAGGCTACAAACTCTAACAAACATTCATCCATCTAAACTTTCACATTTATAATATTAGTAAGATATCTTTTAAATTGACAATATAATTTCTTAACATAAAACAAAACAAGGGATTAAACATTTTAACAGCTGCATGGACTAAGTGAGCATTTGAAGTGTTCGTGAAGGTGCAAAGAGCGTCGACCGGCTGCGACCTTTGGGAAAACCATCTGCTTATGGCGGGTCATATTACACGCTACTGTCGTTCGAAGAGAGCTTTTAAAGTCGTTTTATCGTTGTTGCATGTGCGGTTGCAAACAATATTGGAACATTAAAAATTTACAGTTAACAAAAATATAATTTAGACAACTTTAGAATAGTAATCTCTAGAGATCGTTAGTGACATCTGTATCTTAACATAGATTATGCATTTGATATCGCTGGAGATACGCTGAAACTTCCAAGCAACGAAGTTTCTTGAAATCTAATTTGTTGAATGTCAACCACCAAAGTATGAGTCACTTAGAACTTTGTCATATGACGTGATGATGATAATTACAAATAAGTAACCGAAATACTCAAGTATATTTGACAGTGGCAGTGCCCGCTTTAACATCTTAGCACGAATGGGCCGGCACGCCCGGTGTAATACCACGACCACACAGAAGTCTGGCGTGAAATGAAAGCAATTCCGTGTTTCGTCTGATGAGTGTGGTGCCGGAGACCTTATTTAAGTCCCTTCCTCTTTACCAGCCTTTTCTTATGAGGAGAGGATGGGAAGGGGAAGTGGATTTGAAGGTGGAGGAGATGCATCGGAAGGGGCAACATCCTCTTTATGTGCGTGTCCTCCTCCGTCGGATACGGGTAGGCAACGCATCTGCGAGCGTGGATGTCTATGGGCAGCGGTAGCTT